CCACAACAAAAGCTTTCCACTTCATTTATTTCAACATCCCCCTCCTCGCCCCGTCCCCGCCCCGCTAGGTTCCCCGCCCCGCACCCCCCCCCATGTAATGAGTCATCAGAGAGAGACCAGTAAAGACGTCCACTGGTGAAGTGCTCGGGTTTGTTTACAACACAAAAGACTTACGCCCGGAGTTTTAAAAACACCCTCCTCCGTTGAAGAGGGTCGTCGTGTTTCAACCCGAGTTTTTTTTTAAATGAGTCCTGAAGGACACCGCAGTACAGTACTTGACGAGGTGATTTGGCGGTAAAAGTAACTAATTTCAATAAAATTAATTTATAATATTGGAATTAGTTCATTTTACCGCCACACCACCCCGCCAAGTACTACTGTACTGCGGTGTCCTTCAGGACTCATTTAAAAAAAAAAAACTCTGGTTGAAACACGACGACCCTCTTCAACGGAGGAGGGTGTTTTTAAAACTCCGGACTTTAGTGAGACAGTGAACCCCAGGAAGATGTGACCAGCTCTACCACATCACTACCACCACACTACAGTACCACACACACACATATAGATAGATAGATATTTTATTGACCACCAAAATACATGCTTTATGAATATAAACAATATACATTATGGTCCATGATTAAAATCTTGAACAGTAAAACAATAAATTAAAATACAGTTAACTAACTATATACAAATAACACACATTATGATCCATAAAATCTCTGGAACAATAAAACAATAAGTTAATTAAAAAAAAGACACTAAAATACACAACTAGGAAGTCGTAGTACATACACAAAATGCGAGGAAAAGTATTACGTAAGTTCATTCATACTTAAACATACAAGGCAAGTATAGAATGGATGGCGATGCATACAACTTCATGGTCAGACATTTCAATGAACAAGTTTTCTAGTGTTGTGATGTTGAGCAAGTGCAATGATATGGGACACTCTTCAAAGACATGCTTTTCAGTCTGAATCTCACCACATGTACACAGTCGTCCTTCTATCGGCAAGCGGCCTCTACCGCGCCTGTTCCAGCGCCCCTCCCCTACAGCGAGGGAGTGAGCGCTTACTCGTAATCATGTCCATGATAAGAGCTCCATCTCATTAAGTCCCGATTTAATATTGTACATCTTGTGTACAGCAAATTCCGGATTTATAGACAGGTGCAACTGAACTCTAGATGAATCAGAATGTCTTAATTTTTGTATCAAATCATCACAATGAAATCATGTATGCAACGTGACGTGCTACAGTTGTCGTCGATTGTTACACGAATGGCAGGAGACGAAGTTGGACAGGCACATGGAAGTGCTGGGATGGGTGTGAAAGGGATCTGCCCTGTATGGGCCAGTCGGCCTCCTGCAGTATCCCACTTTCTTATGTTCTTATGTTCCTCCATATCCCTCCTCTCTCTCTCCACACGCTAGAGAAGAATTTACGTTGCTTTGCTTTAATTAAAGCACGTAGGGGAGGGTACCCAAGCTCCATCAGACACAGATCATTGCTCGTCGTCTTTCGGACACCCAACAACTGTTTGACACCAAATATACTGTACAGTCTATGCACGGGTTTGATGTCACCACACATCCACGTTTCACATCCATACAGTATAGTAGACATTAATATGGCATCGAATATTTTTCTCTTCACAGAGAATCGTACATAATTTTTTTATTCACAATAGCTATAAATTGGAGAGCATGACACATTTTGCTCTGGGCATGAAATTTAATAACTGTGGATGTGGATCCGTCTGCTGTGAGTGGACTCCCAGATATACGTATTGCTCACACGGTTCCACTGTCAAGTTATCCACGCGTATTGGCTGCCTATCCAAATCACTACCGTTAACTACGAAGAATTTCGTTTTACCCATATTTACATGCATCCCATGTGAAGCACAAAAACGATTAAGGACCAGGACATGCAGCCAGAACCAAAAAGCCATCCAACCCACAGTTTGTTTAATTAATCTGACCATGTCGTTGACGTACAGGACAAACAGCAGGTAGGAAGTAGGGGATCCCTGTCGCACACCTACAGATGCTGTGACTAATGCAGTGTTTACAATACAATTACTAACTTTATACATGGCCGCAATAGCAAAGAGCATTGTCAATCCACAGCCCAATCTTTTTAACGTAAACAACAGCACGTTCCGCCGCACCTTGTCGCCCTACGATCTTCAACTTCCAGTGACATATATAAGGACCTTCAACGCTCCAGTTATAGAAAATAATATAGCCATATTTCTCTATTTTCCCGCCATATAAACACACAGAGTAGCGAGTTATCTTTACTTCTCAACCATATAAGATTACAGAGCTATTTATCGCTATATCCCAGCCATATAAGAGCAGTAAAGAAGACGCCATTATTACCCTCAAGAAAACAAGGTCACACCACAGCCTTTATGGCGGCATCACGACAATTATGGTGTGGCTAGGTTAGGTTATGGTACCTTGGTGTGACCCAGGGTGTGGTGCAGTAACTTGTGCCACACTAACAGGTAAAGTACAGGAGGCGGCCTCTTACACACCCTGGTCCACTTATTGATTGAGGGGCAGCTGTCCGAGTCTACCACACCACGCCTACTGTACCCCCTTCCTACCACACCACACCTACTGTACCCCCTTCCTACCACACCACGCCTACTGTACCCCCTTCCTACCACACCACGCCTACTGTGCCCCTTCCTACCACACCACACCTGTACCCCTTCCCACACACACCACACCACTCTGTACCCCCTTCCTCACCACACACCACACCTGTACCCCTTCCTACCACACCACCTCATGCCCTTCTCCACACCACACCTACTGTGCCCTACCACACCACGCCTACTGTGCCCCCTTCCTACCCACCACACACCCCTCCTGCCTTCCCTACCACACCACACCTCTGTACCCCTTCTCCACCACACCACCTACTGTACCCCTTCCTCACTACCACTCACTACACACGCCTACTGTACCACACCTTCCTTCCTACCACCACACCTACGCCCACTCCCTTCCCTACCACACCACCCCCACCTACCCACCACACCTCTACTCCTTCCTACCACACCTCCCCTGCCCACCACCACACCACACCTTGTACCCACCCTACTTCCTCCTCCCCCAGCTACCTCTTCCTCCTCCTCTTCCTCCCCCCGGCCCAGCACACTGATCCTGGCACCAATTAATTAAGTAGGTTGGTGGGGTGATGTTGACACGAGGGTTCCTACGTCACTGTCCAGGAACGTCAAGTGCTGCGTCCTCGTCACCACCACCACTACTACTACTACTACCATCATCACTACTACCATCACCACTATCATCACTACTACCATCACCACCATCATCACTACTACTACCATCACCACTACTACCATTACCACCACCACTACTACCATCACCATCATCGCCACTACTACATTACCATCACCACTATTACTACCACTACTGCTACCACTACTACTACCATCAACTACTACCATCTACTACTACCATCCTTATTATTACCATCACTACCACCACCATCACCAACTATGCAACATATAGCGTGTTCCAAAACCTGTCCTGGCACTGCAGTGTGTGAGTGTAGGGTGAGTATATAACCGTGTGCCAAGTGGTGGGTCACACTTGTGGGTGATAGTGTGAGGGAGGGAGCATGAGGGAGGGCGTAGTGTGAGGGAGAAGGGCCAGGCGCCTCAATGAACACATGACATCAACAACAACATAAAGTTAACGGGGACAAATTGGTCTTAAGTATGAGTAATGACATAAGTCACAGTGATGAGTCAACTCGTTCACGCTCTGACGTAATGTGGCTCCTTACTTCACACTCGGCTTATAATAATAATATGTATGTGTATGTATGTATATGTAATAAAAATAATAAAAAAAAATAATATATGTAATAACAATAACACCAACAACAACAATAATAACAATAATATATAATAAAAATAATAATAATATTAATAATAATAATAATAATAATAGTAGAAATAATAATAATAATAATAATAACAATAACGCAACAACAACAATAATAATAATAATAATAATAATAATCATTATGATGATAATAATAATGATGATAATAATAATGATGATAATAATAATAATAATAATGATGATAATAATAATAATAATACTAACAATAATAATACTAATATCAATAATAATAATATTAATAATAATAATAATAATAATAATTTTAATAGTAATTTTAATAATAATAACAATAATATTAACAATATTAATACCAATAATAATAATTATTATAATAATAATAATAATAATAATAATAATAATAATAATAACACCAACGGCAATAATAATAATAATGATGATAATAATAATGATGATAATAATAATAATAATAATGATGATAATAATAATAATAATACTAACAATAATAATACTAATATCAATAATAATAATATTAATAATAATAATAATAATAATAATTTTAATAGTAATTTTAATAATAATAACAATAATATTAACAATATTAATACCAATAATAATAATTATTATAATAATAATAATAATAATAATAATAATAATAATAATAATAATCATTATGATGATAATAATAATGATAATAATAATGATGATGATAATAATAATAATAATAATAATAATAATCATTATGATAATAATAATGATGATAATAATAATGATGATAATAATAATAATAATAATAATAATAATAATAATAATAATAATAATAATAATAATAATAATACCGTACAATTTGCTTGACAACTTGAGATAAACAAGAGAGACAGCCGCTGCCCCTCCCTCACCAAGGTCGTGATCCCTGCAGCAACAAGTCACTACACGTCTAGAGACACTTCACACCTGAGCTCGCCAACGAAGGTCATACCATTAAAAACTCACATCATTCTGTCAGTGCTGGATGATGATCGTCTTATTCCATTCTGTGTGGCAGCAAAATAGTCGTAGCTGTGTAAGGTTAGGTTAGGTTACTCACCTCCTGCAGCACCTGACCGTCCTTCTTGGTAGACAGGTTAAGGTAACGCTCCTGGGACTGACAGAACTTCTGGGTCTGCTTCTCAAACTTCTTCCTGCCTTCCTTAGCGCCGCCGATGGCCTCCTTCCTGAAGCTCTCCAGCGGCTGTATGATCTGCTCGTACGACCGCTCCAGCTGTCCCCAACACAACCACTTTAATAACACTTTTATATCAACTGAATAACACCATACTACACCCAATAACACTAATAACAGTATAACATTAATAACTCAACAACACCTTAATAATACTTAATATCACTCAGAAACACCCAATAACACTTTAGTAACAGTATAACACCTTAATAACTCAATAACACTTAAGTAACAGTACAACACTTTTATAACTCAATAACACTGAAATAACTCAATAACACCTTAATAACTCAATAACACTTTAATAACAATATAACACCCTAATAACTCTCAATTACACTTTAATAACAGTATAACACCCTAATAACTATCAATAACACTTCAATATCTCTCAAGAACACTTTAAAAACTCTCAGTAACACTTTAATAACAGTAAATACCTCACTAAACTTGGCAACACATGAAGTAAGAATATGTTGGTGGGAAAGATCAAAAGCTCATAGGGAGATAATGTACCTAAGGCCCTTTACGACAACATTCGTCCTCCAACACTCACCATCCTCTCCCTCTCGTCCTCCACCATATCGACAATCTTGGCAAACTCTCGCAGCGAGCCGCCGATCACTATCTCATCGTCTGTTTGACTGTTGCCGATACACTCAAACTTGAACCTCTGCAAGTTGTTGCTCAGGTTACGCTTGGCCCGGGAGAGATCTGTCGAGGAGGAGGAGACACGTAATTAATGATAATGATAATCGTGATGATGATAATGATAGTGATAATAATAATAATAATAATAATAATAATAATAATAATAATAATAATAATAATAATAATGGTAATAATAATAAGCTTGGGTACCTAATTTTGACGTGGTTAATTTCTTCCACTAATACACTCCACTGTCCACAACTGGTCGTGGGGGGGGGGTGTTATTACAGTAGTCGGCCTTGCAGCCACATTTTCTACCCGTCTCTTCCTCACCAGAGAGAACGTGGCTGTGTTGGCCTGGTGAGGTAGACTCCTGTATTTAACACCAGCTAACACCACCCCCCCCCCACCTCCTGAAGACTCTCTCACCACCCACAGCATTATTTCACCTTAAGTTTAACCACCCTGACCTAAGCCATCCTAATCTATTCCAACCTAACCTATTCCACCCTTTCTTATCACAACCTAGCCCATCCTATCCTAAACCTAACCACACCCTCTAAATACTATTAAGGTTGGGTTAATCTTGGGGTTAAATAAGCTGGGGTGGTGGGGACTCATCAGGTGATTCAATATAATTTTCATCAGTGACCAACCCCCCCCCCCTATAGTTCATAACCACCAAATGTTATATTAGACACAATTATCCACATAGTATTATCAAGATTATTTAGATAATACTAGTGATAATATTGATAATGATATGATAGAATAATAGCCCTGAGATGATATGTTAGGTATGAATCATGTTAAATACCGTGTCACTCTGTATCGTGGTCGTGTTAACATGTTAGTTCATAAATATTATCATCAGTGAAGGTAAAAGGTACAGGTAAATTATTGGAAACACCTGATGATTACACACCCTAGCTTGTTTTGTCTGAAGATTAATCACCCTAACGCTAACCTAACCTAACATAACCTATCTTAACCTAACCTAACCTAACCTAACATAACCTATCTTAATCTAACCTAACCTAACCTAACATAACCTATCTTAACCTAACCTAACCTAACCTAACCTAACATAACCTATCTTAACCTAACCTACCTTAGCCTTACATAGACTAACCTGATTAGCCCCATCTAACATAACCTAACAGGAGTATAATGAGTGACTAACAGGAGTATAATGAGTGACTAATAGGAGTATAAGGAGTAGTTAACAGGAGTATAATGAGTAGCTAACAGGAGTATAATGAGTGACTAGCAGGAGTATAATGAGTAGGTAACAGGAGTATAATGAGTGACTAACACGAGTATAGTGAGAAGCTAACAGGAGTATAATGAGTGACTAACACGAGTACAATGAGTGACTAACAGGAGCATATGAGTGACTTAGCAGGAGAGCAATGAGTAGCTACAGGAGAGAAGAGACCAGTAGGAGTATAATGAGTGACTCACACGAGTATAATGAGTGACTAATAGGAGTATAAGGAGTAGTTAACAGGAGTATAATGAGTAGCTAACAGGAGTATAATGAGTGACTAGCAGGAGTATAATGAGTAGGTAACAGGAGTATAATGAGTGACTAACACGAGTATAGTGAGTAGCTAACAGGAGTATAATGAGTGACTAGCAGGAATATAATGAGTAGGTAACAGGAGCATATGAGTGACTAACAGGAGTATAATGAGTGACTAACACGAGTATAGTGAGTAGCTAACAGGAGTATAATGAGTGACTAGCAGGAATATAATGAGTAGGTAACAGGAGCATGAGTGACTAACAGGAGTATAATGAGTGACTAACACGAGTATAGTGAGTAGCTAACAGGAGTATAATGAGTGACTAACACGAGTACAATGAGTGACACCTCTCGTAAAACCACCAGCAATGTTGCCAATCATTATCTTTTAAACACACACACACACACAACGTGGCATTGCTAATTTCACATCTAAAAAAATTTTCTCCCATTTTTTTAAGAATACACTAATGACGACCAGAGAGAGAGAGAGAGAGAGAGAGAGAGAGAGAGTAGCAGCACCGGAAGTTAGGCCGGCGGACCCCACTAAGAGATTACATGGCCTGGAGTTCCCCTCACACCACCACAACAACAACAAACATTAATATGGTTTACACACAAACAATATAATATTAAAATTGTCTACATCACAACAAACGATAATAGGTGTGGCAGGTAGAGAGAGAGTAGCACGGTGGTACAGGTGTGGTGAGTGAGTGGCCAGTACAGTGTTGAAGGAAGCAAGTTTATCTTCTGGACAGTATCACGGCTCACAGTAAGACCTAATTAATATGTACTGACGCTCTTTCCACACACACACACACACCTGCCACCCTCCCACACACCTGTACAGAAAACACCTGTAGTCGTGACCTAGTTCTCATCGCAGTCAACCCACAGTTTCCTCCAGTCAGCTGTACAGTCAACAATAGTGACTGAGTGTAAGAGTCGAGGTAACAGCGTAGGTCAGAAGACTATATAGATCTATTAAACTTGTCACCTCACAATAAACAAAATCCAGGTAGACCTCTCCCTCTCACCCCTCCCGGTCCTTCTTGCATGACCTTAAACACACACAGGTGAGGAACAGACAATCCATTACTACATATGTGTTAATTAACCATATGTACAACTATGTGGTAAGAGATGGGTGACTTGTAGAACAACTCTCAAAGGAGGAAAATTCTGAACACTTGTAGTTGTAGGAATAAATTAGGTGTTTTTTGGGGGTAAATATTTTTGGTATTGAGTGAGGGTAACATAACAAAGTGTGCTCGTTCTTGTGGTCCAGTACACAGGTGTTCCTCGGGTGTACAAGAGTGTGTGTGTGTGTGGTGATAGGACTGTGTTGTTATCTTGGTATAGTTTCTGGCTTCCTGGCCACCGTAACCTGGAGAACGGATGCCATCGTCACACACACACACACACACACACACACACACACACACACACACACACACACACACACACACACACACACACACACACACACACACACACACACACACACACACACACACACACACACACACACACACACACACACACACACACACACACACACACACACACACACACACACACACACACACACACACACACACACACACACACACACACACACACACACACACACACACACACACACACACACACACACACACACACACACACACACACACACACACACACACACACACACACACACACACACACACACACACACACACACACACACACACACACACACACACACACACACACACACACACACACACACACTCTGTACAGGTATCATTTCACTACATAGTAATTTTATATCATGCATGATGTGAATAAATGTATCACGTTTAAACATAAAATACAAAAAAGACACAAACTGTATACACAACTGTCCTCTACAAGTGTGTGTGTGTGTGTGTGTGTCAGTTACAAGATGACCTAGGTCACTTTTGATGTCTTAGTCACCCCCACGATGGCACCTCCCTCCTCGTGGCACCTTCCCTCCGCTGGTGGTAGGAGGGCATCTCACCACATATGTATTAGGGGGTAACAGAGTCCAGCTGCCCACTGACTCACACTGCCAAACACGGCTTTGTTGCTGTTGGTGGGAGTCCCATGGTGACGACATTGTTTGCGTCTGGTGTGTTTACAAGGGGGGTGAGTTGGGTCCTGTTATTGTCACCACCAGCCACACACCTACAAGTGTTACGTCTATAGTAACACACCTACAAGTGTTACGTCTACAGCCACCCACCTACAAGTGTTATGTCTACAGCCACACACCTACAAGTGTTACGTCTACAGCCACCCACCTACAAGTGTTACGTCTACAGCCACCCACCTACAAGTGTTACGTCTACAGCCACACACCTACAAGTGTTACGTCTACAGCC